TTTGACTCTTGTCTTTACTTAAAAGGCTCTACAGTGATATAAGCTCTGTCTTACACTCATTTTAATTTTTGTCTAAGTAATCTACAAAATTTAATGTTCTGCTTCTTTTCCACATAATATCCTCCAAAATCAAATGTGATTAACTTTTCGATCAAACACTTTTGCAGTCCCCAAGACATTCACCTATTGTGATGGATGATGGTGAGTTGTTTAGCTTTATGGGTATGGTTGCTGAGTTAACGATATGAATTTATCTAGAACTTTCCAATGTAAGCTTTCTGTAAAATATTCTTAGTGTATCTAAGTCTTAATCTTGGTTCTTCTCAAAAAATCCTATAATGCCAATATTGACCAAGGCAAGTTAGAAGGGCCTGGTGTATAAATGGAGATCTCAGAGGGCCAGGGCATGGTAATCCCTTTATTTTTTTTTTAGTTCTAAATTTAAATAAACGTGTTTCTCTCAGCTTTCAACTGAGATTTTAGTTCTGAGAAAGGGAAATAGTCTCCTTAGAAGATTGAATTTAAGAAGCAAAAGCTCAGGGAATTCACATTTTCTGCCTTTGCAGGAAAATCAGTAAGCAGCCTGTATGTAAGCCCCGATGTTCTCCACTTTTACAAGTGGCCTGATGTGTTCCTAGCTACTGTTTTCAACATCAGTATTATGCTGTTAGTTTAAGAATATAGTTGGTGTAAACAAATGCACAGTATCATTTTGCTTTTAAATATTTTAGACTTGGCTCAGTGCCTGTAGCTCAAGTGGCTAGGGTGCCATCCACATACACCAGAGCTAGTGGGTTTAAATCCAGCTTGGGCCTGCCAAACAACAATGACAACTACAGTCAAAAAATGGCCAGGCATTGCCATGGGTACCTGTAGTCCCAGCTACTTGGAAGGTTGAGGCAAGAGAATTGGAGGTTGGAGGTTGCTATGAGTTGTGATGCCATGGCACTCTACCTAGGGCAATAGCTCGAGGCTCTGTCTCAAAAAAATATATATATCTTTTAGGCTTAAAAAAATTCCTTAATTGGCTGGGTATAGTGGCTCATGCCCATAATCCTAGCACTCTGGAGACTGAGGCAAGAGGATCACTAGAACCTAGAACCCAGGAGTTTGAGGTTGCTGTATGCTAGGCAGAGGCCATGGCACTGTAGCCTGGGGCAATAGAGTGAGACACTAAGGGAGAAAATTCCTAATAAATATTGAACAGAATCTTAGCTTACAATGCTATTTTAAAATATTGCTAATGCCAAGATCTGGAATCAACCCAAGTGCCCATTAACCCAAGAACAGATTAACAAACTGTGGTGTATGTATACCCTGGAATAATATTCAGCCCTAAGAAAAGAGAGAGACTTTACATCTTTTATGTTTACCTGCATGGAACTATAGCACATTTTCCTCAGTCAAGTATCTCAAGAATGGAAAAAAAAAGTATCCAATGTACTCAATACTAATATGAAGCCAATATATAAACAACTTCAAGTATAGCCTAGAGGAGGGTAGGGTAGAGGAGGTGTGGGGGAGAAGGAAGGGTGCTTGGGGGATCTCACCTGATGTGCACTATGCGAGGGTGTTCAGCACGCCCCCTGGGTGAAGGGCACACCTACAACTTGAACTTTACCTTAGAAATGAAAACAATGTAACCTAAACATGTGTACCCGCCTATCAATCTGAAATAAAAATAATTAAAATATTGCTAATTACATTTTGAAAGCCTAAGTGGTCTAATTTTAAATGTAAAGATCACAGGATGATTTTTTTCCTGATGGATAAGGCGGGTTGTGTTTCTGGAGAGCGAACCATACCCAAGGCTTTGTTCTAAAGTGGCACTTCTCAACTCTCTGTGGTTAAGAATTGGTTTTATTTAATTATTTTTAATTTTCAAGCCATTACAAACTATTATAGTCAACGGGTCTGCTGCGCATGGCTAGTGTCCCCACCTCTCACCATCCACGTTCAACACACTGGTCTCTGGTCTGCTTGAAAGGAGTCTGCCAATGATGAATGTGGATGTTATGGCAATATCAAGGGGCTGTAAAAGTTTCTATGTGCTTTATTGAAATTCCCATACTTACTGTGGGCCGGTACAAACTGGTGACTGACCTCTGAACCCGGGTTCTGTGACCCCAACCTGCCTCTTAAAATTTCATAATGAGAAAGGTTAGAAGGTTTATCCTCAGTGCTTATTCACTCAGCGAACACTTACTAAGCACCCATGAATTGACACTGTGCTGGAAGATGTAGATTAAAATACGAACAGGGCACGGTCTAGTCCTCAGAAGCTCATGGTTTAGCGAAGAAACATCCACAAATACAGTGAGGACAGACTACATAATTTACAGGTCCCAGTGCAAAATGGAAAAGCAGGCTCCTTTGTATAAAAATTCAGAATTTCAAGATGATGAAAACAGGGCATTAAACCAAGTCCTAGGCCCTTCTAAATGGCTATACACTGCAGATCCTGCCTATGATTCGGTGTAATACAGGAGGGGTGCTCAAGGTATCACGGAAATACACAGGGGCCACCCAATCTGAAAACTGATCTTAAGAACACTTCCTAGAAGAAATGAAACTGTGCTAATTTTAGACAATAAAGATAATGAGGATATTTCTCCGACATGGACCTTCTCTTCTATTTTTTAGATCAGGTTATTGAGGACACTTAATTAGTCATTTTGATATAAATGCCAACTGCCAAGAGTCTTCTGTCACTGGACACCCCAGTAATTATTTACCTCTGGAGCTGTGACGCATCCTAGGTGAACATGGAGATGTGTGCATGTATTTCTGTGTGTTTCTTAATGAGTTCCTTATGTTCTATGGTGCTGGTTCTGAGACCTTAGCTGCATGAGAATCAGCCTTCAGGCTTTTGAACACATCAATTACTGGTCCCCACCACCAGAGTTTCTGACTCAGCAGATCTGGGGCAAGGCACAAAGATTGGTACATTAAACAAGTGCCAGGGTATGGTACGCTGCTGGCTCAGGGACCAAACTTTGAGAATCAATATTCTGGTGTGTTACGTGCAGCGGCAACAGATGTTTCTTATCAGTTTTGGACAAAGACATCTGAAAAGACAAAAATACAACCCCAAACATCAACCATTTAATTCTTGGTCAAGACACAAATTAATACTCTCCCATCCTGGACTTGCTAACATAGCAACTGTTTCGATCTGTCTGAAACCTACTGAAATCTGTTTGGAATATTTGGTATACCCAATTAGCCAAGAAAACCAGTGGATAATGAGAGTTAATTTTTTGAGCTCATTTTTTTTTTTAAATCTCAGGAGAACTCATTAGCTTTCATCACTAAGGACCCGAGACAGTAATCCCTCTAAAAAGAAAAGTACAGATCTCTGAATGGAGATAAAAACTGTCATTTATTTCAAGTGAATTTTGTTTCATTAAAAAACCCTGTAACGTTAAAACATAAATGAGATAGAAACATGTTTATACGATGGCCTTTCCCCTCTAAAGACCAAATAAACATATGCACATTATAAATATGTCTAAAGTTTGAATATCATTATTACAGTTGGCATTTCAGGGGCCTACAATACTAATCATGACTATTCACAAACACCTTACTGTGCGTGATTGATTTGACTGAAAGGTAACCATATTTCTAAATACAAAGAGCTGAACAGCTACTACACTCGATATATTTGGTAGTTAGCTGCGTGTGCTTTTTAAGTTCTCGTTCTATAAAGCATCTGTTTCTAAAATGCCTGCCACATAAAGGCACATATATTAATATATGCAATTTGAGGGTGGTTACCCCTTATTCTGAGAGGTCATGAAAATCCACTTTACACCATGACAGTAAAACCTTTAGTAAACTGAACGCAACATACCACAGCCACCACCATCAAGAAAAACTAAAAACCCATAGTTTAGAAAAGTCCTAGGAAATATTGCCGTTTATTGATTTGCTAATCAGAAACCTTAAAAAAATTGCTATTGGTGGTCAGAAGTAAACTAACGTGGACAAACTCATGAAAGTGAATCTTCTGGATCATCCAATATCATCCTGGGAAGGTACTGCATCATTACAGTCAATGCTTTTCTTAGTTTGGCTCACCAAGAAAGCCGATGCGTGCAATTTAGGAAGGATTTCCATAAAGGCAAAGCCAAAAGGCTTACAATCCAGAGAGGGCTAACCTTCTGTAAGCCAGACTTCCAGTAAGAATACGACCATATATTTTGGGAAATTACAGTCAGAGTTTTGGCCTTTGTGGAAAGTACCATCACGCTGAGACCAAAACTTCAACCCAGTCACCCTGTTAGAATCTTACAAATGTCAAAGATGAGGGATCATCACATTTGTGTCTTTCGGTATCAAATCTACCTATAAAGGATCCCATTTTGACAAAATATTACATTCTCTTCTTTCTTTTTAAGAATATATGACAAAATATTGTCCTCATACACTTTAATCATGTATTTTTTCGGTCACCCTACTACGATGTCACTTAAACGAAAATGTATTTTTTGTTTTTCCTATTGCTTTTATCTATACTAACCAGAGGCCTCTGGGGGAAGTAATGGATCCCACTTATGTTAAAGAAAATGTGAGACAAAATGTCAGCTTCTTTCTGTCTTCAAGTAAATAGAATCCCTGATATACATTGAAATTAACACGGAATTTGGGAGCAGTAACACACACACAAATCCAAACCTGTGACAACTTTTTCCTGTTCCTTAAAGATGAGCTTTGGCTCTGGAGTCTCTTAAGGCACAAAACCTGATAGATAACTTTTGTTGGTGGCCTGCACCTCTGATTAAAAAATAACCACAAGAATAGCATTTAAATAAAAATAAATCATTTTTTGTTAGAACTTCATACCACTGGATGAGGTCCGGGGGTGGGGGGGGGAGGAATCCAAATGAGCTAACATCATGTCTGTATAAATATTTGTTGACAGAGTATAAAAAGTACAATATAGTTTACACAGTGCAAAAACTATTAGAAAATGGAATAGATGTGATGTCTCGGTAGAATCACAGTGCTGTCTCAAAAATAGTTAAGGCTGAGGGTTGTCCATTGGAAGTGTTCCCCACATGGTCAGTCTGAGTAATTTCTGGATAATTCCTTTTGAAGTACACCTGTTTAAAAAAAAAGGCAAGGATAAAAAGAACACGTTTAAAAGTTTTAAAGTCTTCTTCCCTAAAACAATGGAGTTCTATGTTCACTTCTTCACGTGAAGCACACTTTGAGGGATATTCAATTCTATAGAGGAATTAGCCCCACTGGAGCCCTCTAGGTGGGGCGGTACTGAAAACCAAACAACTTTTTGATCGCTCTGATTTATAGATACGTTTTATCACCACATTAAATTGATAAGCAACATCATTTTCCTGACTCAAAACCTGGAGATAAATTAAAAACAGGGTGACAAAGGGGCTGGGAAATCCAGTGTCTGCAGGAGGGTTTCTCATTTTCACACATAAAATGAGCACAATAGATTTGGATGTTAATATCAAGTTGTAATCCCTATACTTCATAAACTCTGATTGACAAGCATTGAAACGCCGGCGTGTTATGTATGAAATATCCTGGCGTTTAATTTGTGCAGCAAAGCAGTTATAGGGCCTATAGAAATGTGGTCTGTGGAGAGTGGCCCACAATAATGAAAAGAGAAGCAAAAGCTTTAACAATGACTTTACCAAGCAACTTCTCTAAAATGTAAGATGATACCAAATAATAGGACAGTTCTTTGCCAAGCCTTTGAGTTCCTGAATTCTACCAATTTCTAGCTGAACTAGGAGAGATACAGGTTTCCTGATAAATGTATAATCAGAACATAAAGGAAATGAAATGCTGTCAAGTTTCTCTGTTCCACGATCATCAGTTTTTAGTAGCTGTATCGTATCTTGGTTCCTTGACAGATGCGCATAACAAAATGAAATAATGTCAAGACTTGTGAGCTCTTATCTCAGAATGTGTTTGGGTGAAAAAGGACTTCAAATGTAATTTTTTTTTCCAAAGAAGAATGGGACAAGTTTTGTTTGAGTCTTTAAAACAGAAAATGTACCATCCATCTGAGGCTGACATGTATCATCAGCTGGGTCTCTTAGTCATACGATTCTGGATCTATTTTATAAAACCTGGCTCCAAGTATATTTGTGGGTACTGTCAACAAAGTTATCATTTGGAGATAATGGGCTTCATGTACAAAGAAAAGTGCCGAGACGCCTACCTACATATTAAGCATGCTTTCTTTTTCTCTCACTGCCTGAATACTTCTTACTCCAAAAACATCATTATATTTAAAACACTGTATATTAAAATGTTACTTAAGGAACAAATAAATTGTCCAGTAACGGCCGGATGAAATCGTAGGCTACTTCCATCATAATGCAAGTATTCAAAAATAAGACTTTTGGGGGGTTAGTTTTCACATGATCTCCACACTTTTTTAAGCTAGCCATATTTTGTGTGGTTAAAGATATATGCACTCCAAAAAAGGCTATTTCTTACTGAAACTAAAAAGATCCAAAAGGGAAAATGGGCATACACTTCACTTTCTACCGCTTAGTAATCCTCCCCCCAATAAGCCAGTTCCTTCCCCATAGCCCTCTCAACATAATTCTTTATAAAAAAAATTCTGTCATTGTCAATTTTTAAACAAAATGGTCTTAGTTTCATGATCTGAACTATTTTGTTGAAAGTAAGCTTCCTGTGCATGGAATCCTTGACTTGAGCTTTCTCTTTCTCATCTGTTACCACGTTCTGTAATACACTGCGGATTGCACCACAGGTGAGATAAAGTGTCTTTGTGAACAGAGCCGGTGATGAAAGGAATGGACATTGCTAAACAATCTCAGGCAGGGACACAGGCTAAGCCTAGGATGGAGAGGTCCAGTCCCAGCTCTCTCCTGGGAATCCTAGAAAAATTACTTAACCACTCTCCATGCTGGCTGCCTCATCTGTACCAGGAGGTAACAATGGCTTACGTCATAGAAACTAATTAATGGCTACGAACTACAGGTTGAAGACATGCCCAGTTAAGTGCTGGGTGTGATCATGACTGCTACTCAGAGAAACAGCCCCTTAGTACATGGAAAGTAGCAGCATCACCTGGCTTGAAAGATGAAAACAAAGCAGCTAGCAGCCCCTTTTGTGGGTTTTTTGATTTTATCTTTACAGAACCCCAAAGCTATAGTTGAGATGATGACTTTACATGAGTGAATACCGTACCCCAGGAGGCGGGAAGGTACAGTTGAAAGTTGGAGCATCAGCACTTCCTAACTGGTGCTTTGAGAGGTTACCTAGGCTCTTTGCCCTGTTTCTTCATGTGTCAAAAAGAGACAATAATACCAGATCAGAGGGACTGTGAAACTTAACGGAGACAGTGCCATGAGTGCTGGGTATCTTGTCCCTCTCCTTCCTGCTCTTGGCTTTGACTCCCTATAGATCCTCTAATATAGGTTAGAGCTGAGTTCAGTATTTAAACTCTGGCTCATCAACCAAGCCACCATAATGAAATTAGATTTCATTCATTAGTAAAGACAACAAAGCAATAAAACCTCCCTCGAGTGGACAAAGGAGAGCAGCCAGGCTTTATCTGCATTGTATTCATAAGACACCATTCATGCTGGGTGCTGTGGCTCATGCCTGTGATCCCAGCAATTTGGGAGGTCGAGGTGGGTTGATCGCTTGAGCTCAGAAGTTTGAGACCAGCCTAAGTAAGGGTGAGACCTGATCTCTACTAAAAACAGGAAAGCTAGCTGGGTGTGATGGGGGGTGCCTGTTGTCCCAACTACTCAGGAGGCTGAGGCAAGAGATTGACTGAGCCCAAGAGTTTGAGGTTGCTGTGAGATATGAAGATGCCACAGCACTCTACCCTGGTTGACAGAGTGAGACTCTGTCTCCAAAAACAACAACAACAAAAAGAACCATTTAATATCTCCACATTGAATTCTGGCTAGAGACTCTGTCAGTTCATTCTTACTGAACTGTATGGCCCTAGTTCCATCACAGTAACTTCCAAGATCTCAAATTAATTCTTATTAAAGCAGATCTAATTTTGGTGTACATAATACACATCATCAAAGTTAAAGAGAACTGAAGTGTCAGAAAGGGCTTCAGCTTTTGAAACAATAATGAATTTTCTCCCTCCATATCTTTTCAGAAATCACAAAGAACATCGAAGATATTGAGAAATAGAAAAAATAAATCAGATCTTTGATAAAACCAGGAATCACAGTCCTGAATGCCAAAATACCTGGAAAGGCTGTCATATGCAACTGGATCCAACAGGGCCAGGACAAGATAGAGGGAAAGAGGATGCCTATGGGAGCAGACCTCGGCATGCGGGAGAGCACAGCTCTGCAATTAACTGGAGAACTCTATGGTCAATAAGGAATCATACAGAAACCTATTTGCCTGAAGTATACACATTGCTGAGGCCCTAAGAGAAGAGAAGTTTTGAAATACAGGCATCACTGTAACTGCCCATCTCTGTAGACAAAGGAGGATGAAAGGTTAAACACACATGCACTCCTAATTTCTCTCCCTTGCTCAATCTCTCCACCACTCTGACCCCCACTCATAAAGTTCTTCCACATTAAAGCAGAGAGAATTACATTTAGTGTAAAACATTGTCCTAAAAGCTACTATCCTGCAGATATATGATGTAGGAAAAATTCACTGTATTTATGGGTAAGAAGCAGGAATAATAATTTTTTAAAAGTAGTACAGGATCTGTACTACTGTACTACTTTTTTCACTTCATATACAAATGAAAAGGAAAGGAACAAGATAAAGACATGACAGTGAACAGATGAAAATTATTTAAAAAAATACATCCAAAGGAAATGTAGCAGAACAATCAAACTGTGTATAACAGAGATGGAAGACCACAGAAAAATGGGGCACTCCACAGGAGATACTGAAACATGAGTTGATAGTAGCCAAAGGCAAAACAGAAGAGAAAAATGAAAATACCAAAGAAAGGCCCACCAAAGATTAGCCGATGCTGAAAACACAATATGAGACACATTGAACCTGGTGAACAGGACTGATGAGTCAACAAAACAACTGGAAATTAATAAAGTATTAAAAACAATTAAAAAGAAGATAGTTTTATAAAATAGTTAAGGGACATATACAAGTGATATATGTATTTGTAAAGAGGTCAATGAAATCAAATAAAAAAATTTAAAAATAAAAAGTAAATTTCCAGAAACAAAAGAAAACTTGAGTCTAAAATTCAAAAGAGGGCGGTGCCTATGACTCAGTGGGTAGGGCACCAGCCCCATATACTGAAGGTAGCAGGTTTGAACCTGGACCAGGCCAAACTGCAATAAAAAAATAGCTGAGTGTTGTGGTGGGCACCTGTAGTTCCAGCTACTTAGGAGACTGAGGCACGAGAATCACGTAAGCCCAAGAGTTGAAGGTTGCTATGAGCTGTGATGCTACAGCACTATAGCTACAGCGCTCTACCAAGGGTGACAGAGTGAGACTCTGTCTCAAAAAAAACAAAAAACAAAAAAAATCTATAATCACAATAAATATAAATGGACTAAATTCATCTGTTAAAAGAAGGGCTAAGAGTAAATCTCAGAGGAAAACCTAGCTAGATGCTATATACAGGTGATAAACCTTTGGATATTCAAAGTCAAACAAAGACATATAGGGCAAATGATAAACCTTTGGATATTCAAAGTCAAACAAAGACATACAGGGTAAATGAAAACAAAGTGAAAGCAGGGGACCCAATCTTAGTTTTGGAGTAAATTGGATTCAGGGTCAAGAACATTAAGTTAATCAAAGAAAACACTTTAGAATGGTAGAAAATATAATTCATAGTGGAAATCTAAGAAATGAAAATTATCTATAGACTGAAAATCAAAGCATCAAAATGCCCAAAACACAAATGGCAGGAACTATAAAGAGAAAACATGTACAGTATTAGGCTAATTCACCACTCTAGATCCAACTCACAGCAAATAGACTAATATAAATAAGGATAGAAAAGACCTCAACAATGTACCATATTTTCCTGCATATAATACATTCCTGAGTATAATAATGGGCACCCATGTTTTCCCCCAAACTTTCAGGAAATGCCCAGAAAAAGCAGTTGGCTCTCAGCTAGAAG